GAATTCGTTCATTATGTTCACAACACAAAAGTTTGAGGGTGTCAAAGGTATTCTGCACAGAGACTTGAAAACATACAGTTCTCATATCTTGATGGCGCATGGTCATAAATTTGGAAGGAGACTATGATGAAAATTAAACTAGATAGTTGCAAATTTATATACAGTATAACCAAAATCTTCAGTTTTCAAGAAGCAATTAATAGTAGGTATCAATTGTCTTTGAATCTATATAGAAATTGCTAATAAATATTAATATAATAATAGTAATTGTCATTGTAACAAAAAATTTTAATTTACAATTAGTAGTAGTTACAAGGATACCCAGCAGTCTATAATCATCAATTTTGATGAAATTTGTTGATGTGTTGCATTCACTTGTACTTAAATTCCAACATAACTGCAGGACCCACTGTTTAGGTATTCTTGAGTATATTACAACAAAAGAAAAGTTTTTCTACAACCATTAATATCTATATGGAAAACTAATTCATGAATTCAGGGCATAGTGTAATTAGTTAAAATGTCACATGCAGAGGTTTTGTTTTCAGGTTTGATCCCTGTATGCACAGTTTTTTTACATTTATAATTTAATTTTATCATTTTAAAATTTGTTATGAACAATTTTTAAGGTCATTAAAAACATAATTTTTACTTTGATCATTCCATTTTATATCATATAACATTATATTCATATTTTGTATTATTTAACATAATACAGGTTTTTATAAAGATTTCGTAATGAAATATTACAGCCATATGTAAAACATGAAAAGTTTTTATTAATTTAATAATAGCTCTATGGGTAGTAAAATAAATTCTTGAATATATGATGAAATTTTTGTAGATGATGAATATATTCCATTTTGCCAATTAAAAATTATTCACTGAAATGTACCCCTCTTTGTCATTCTTGCAATATTTATTTTAATAGACAGGTTAAAAATTTTTTTCAAAATTTACAAAATTGTAGCTATCTCCTTAAAACCAATAGAAAAATAGCCAATTATGAAGATACTATTAAAATACAATCTCTAATTCATAACTAGTTGAGTGCACCAGTTTTTTTGGGACATGTTAAAATATGTGTGGTTTGTGTCTCAAATAATACATGAAAGAAATATTTTCAAAAACATTAATAAGTTTATTTTCTATCCTCTGTTGTTAAAACAGAATGTAAAGATTGTGTGAACGAAGTAGCAATGATTATATGTGCATGGTGCAATGAGCCATTATGTTTTAACTGTTTTTATGATAAATACCATGCAATATGCTGTCATATTGTTGTGAAACAGTCATTGTAATATTTATCGCATATGTATTTTTTGTGGCAAAAACTTTAAACTGTAGAAAATAGTTTTTAAATTCTCTCATATTTTATAATGAATAATAAATTATACATAAATTTTAAAATGATAAGATTAAACAAGTAAAACGGCAAAGCCATTCTTGGGACAAGACACTGTCTCAGAGAGCACGAGCAATGCATGCGCAAATCTCGCACTCACCCATGTTTGTAGAAACAGTCTCAGCATTTTGTATTTTATTTTGACCTGGTTCTTGGTCTCCTGATTACCTACAAGTCTGGTTTATTTTATGTGTGCATGATTTGGGCACCAAATACTCTGTGCCAAATTGCAATTCATGACATGTACTCCTTCATACCTCTAAGGTGTGCAGCCGTTGACAGCAGTGCGATTTTAGAGACGAGTCATAGTATTATAAATGTAAAAAAACCTCACATATGAGGATCAAACCCAAAAACAAAACTTCTGCACCTGACATCCTAACTAATTACACTACATCCCAAATTCATGAATTGGTATTTTGTGTAGATATTAATGGTTATAGAAACACTTTTCTTTTGTAATACTTTAAAGACTTCTTAATGAAATATTACAGCCATATGTAAAAATTGAAAAATTTTATTAATAATAGCACCATGGAGTGGTCAAATAAATTCTTGAATACATGACGAAATTTTTGTCTTGTTGATCCTGTGGCTTTGGTAGAGTTTAAGTACAAGTAAATACAACACATCCACAAAATTCCATCAAAATTCATGATTACAAACTGCCGGATGCCTCTTGTTAGTAAACTTAAGTAAAGAAAAAATTGTTTTTAGAAGAAATAATGGAATTTTAGATTTGAAACTAAATAAGAGATAGTAAAATATGAAATTCTAGATATGTTATTTACAGCACATGCTGAATGTACTGTACTGTATGTATCATTTTCAAAAGAAACTGAATTAGGTTCTATTTTAATTACTAATTTAATGTAGCTACTATTTAATATGAAGAACAAATTCTATTCATAAATTTTAAACTATATAATTCTACTATGAATTCAGTGTTGTGCTATCACTGTTTAAGTTAAAAAGTCATTTCTATTATTTAAATAACTTGCAGTTCTAATTTATTCATTATTTTTTTGTTAGATTTTAGCATTTGGCATGGAGACTGATTGTATTACTTTTTGTTTTTAATCAGAAACTTATGATCAATTGTTCTTATATCTATATATATAAAAATGAATGTATGTCTGTGTGTGTGTCCTTCATGCATTACCACACCGTTTATCCGATTGCCGTGAAACTTTGGGAAGTTGTTTAATATACTCTGGCGAAGGTTTGTGGCATAGTACGATTGCCATAAAACTTTGGAAAGTTTTTTTAATTTTTTAATACACTCCCGCGAAGTACATTTATCCTACGATAGATGGCGCGCGTTTACACGAGCATTCGCGCACAGTGTGTTCGATCGATTTCAAATTGTGAAGACCATTTCCCCCCTTCAAAAAATATCTCTATATATGCATTTGTGAACTGTTATTTACGATATTTGTAATAATTTTTGTTTAATCACTTTATTTCAACTTTTTTTTGCTAATTATGTATTCGCTCGAACTTCGTTAAAACCTTAACTGTACCCCGAACAACAACCGAAGTTGTAGGAAGAAATTCGCGTATTTTATCGATCTAGGTATTCCCCCTTTTCCAAATTTTAATATCGACTCAAAATAATTTAAAAAGACAAATTACAATAAAACGGTTTATTATCCAACTATCAGAAATTTCACAACATGCCAAGGAAGAGAGGAAGGAGCAATTAAATAATTAAAATTATAAAGGATTAAAATATATATATATATAAATGGGGAATATCGTGCTTCTGACAATCGCTGCGAGTGTGTGGGCTAAATTTGGAGAATCCGTGCTTCTCGCGTGGACAACTGTATGTGGCCGGCTCATGCGTTGGAAAACCTTCCGATTTATTCGTGTACGCACCAGATGAAAAAACAAAAAATATCGTGTATCCACGAGCACTCCAATAAATAAATAGAATTGAAACAACACTTTGAAATGTTTTTCCGATGAAAACGAATAATAATAATAAGTTTCAATAAAAATGATAAAATGAAAATTTAATTTTATCATAACGAGTTTGCTTGAATTTCGTTTCTTCTGAGATCGCAGCAATGCGCGACGGGTAAGCTAGTTACTTAATATTTAGAGGTATGTTCAATTATAGATTCTAATGATGATAACAAAAATACTTTTTTTTTTTTGTTTCCAATATTCTTCTAAATATCACTTATGGTAGCTGTTATTACATTTTATGAATGTATGTCTCTTTAATCTGAATGATTATTAAGTTTGGTAGACTATTATTACAGCTGTAATGATAGTCTACTGAACTTAATAGTCATTCGGATTAAAGAGACATACATTCATAGAACAAAAATACTCTTGAAAATACTTAAGAACAAATATTCTTGATTTCTAAACAAAAATGCTGAATGTATATTGTTATGAATTTTTATGAAGTTAAGATAATTTTTGTTAGTGAAAAGAAGTTTTGGTACTTATTTTTTTTTTTTTTTTATCATTTTACCATTGCTATCTGTTCATCTACATTTCTATTGTTTCATAATTTTATCTTTGTAATATCATTATACATGTAAATCAGCTTAATTTTTTTTATTTATTTATTGACTAAGTCTTTTCCGAATCAGAATAAACTTTTTCAAATCTATTATCAACAATTTTTCTATTATCGTAGATTACTTCAATTTAGCTAATTTTTGAAAAAAGAAAACAATATATGTTTTAGTTCATATCAAAAATTTCTTTTCTTATTTGTGAATGCTTTTACAGTTTAATTTTAAAAACATAGTACATTTTTTTAAAGAATCAAAAATTTTATTAAGTTCAATACTCTCAAGGCATAAGTTTTCTAATCTTCAGAATCAAGTTATACAAAAATAAAAACAAGAAATGAAGATGAAATCTATTCCTTGCAAGTATTAAATCTCATAAAATTTTAGACTTTTTTAAAGAAGGCTTATTGTTTTAATGATTAATAGACATATGTACGTAAGTTTTTATAATATTTCTAACATAAGCATATAAATGATTAACTTTTTTTTAAACTCATCTTATTTAAATTGTTGTTTATTTCATTTTTGTATTAATTTTTCACATTAAAAAATTTAAAAACTTTATAGTGTTCTAAGAAACAACTTAAGTGATAAAAAATAATAATTTCTGATGTTAAAATAAAGACAATTTGATACCTTCATTATGAATTTTACACATATTTCAATATTGGAAGACATTTACTTTTATGATTTATATTTTATCATATTATGTCCTTTTTTTTTAGACTTACCCTAATAAATTAATAATTGCTGTTATTTATAACAGTAAATAATAAATGTATTAAGAGAAAATAAAAATATGAAAAACAAATTTTTATTAAATATAATTTATTCTTTTTTGTTTGTGTATTAACAATCTTCATGCCTATTAATTTTTTAAAACTATTTTCAAATGTATTATTAATTTTGTACTTTAAGATTAAAAATTAACTGAAAAGATCAATAAAATATACATCTGTTGAAAGTATATTTAAAATATAACTTTGAATTTTAGCTTTAAAAAAATTTTACAAATAAAAAGTTTAATTCTTATACACAAAATATATTTTTTTGTTTAATAGTTCCTCAGTTGGTTCATTTGGGAAAATTAGATTTCTTAGTTTTCGATTATTTATCTGAGATTACTATGTCTCTCTTGGTGGCAGCTAAAAAAAAATTCCCTGTAAGTAATTTTTATCTTAAATTTTTATTTATTAAAATGTTTAAAAAATATAATATAATTAATTTTCTAGTAATTAATAATTTCAGGAATATGGATATACACCAGATTTTGTCTTAGCTGCTATGGCACCAAATCTGTCTGCAATCAAACAACAAGGTATTCGGGTAATTAGTAATGCTGGTGGTATTAGTCCTCATTTATGTGCAAAGGCTTTGAAAGAAGAAGCATCTAAACAAGGAATTGAAATTAATGTTGCAGTTATAACTGGTGATGATCTAATGGCAGAAGTAAGATCTTTTTTTGTTTTTATTACAATAAATCAAACTAGTAATTGGGTAAATAATGAAACAAAACCAAAAACAACAGTACTATAATTTCATGAAAATAACCTGTAGTTTATCTGTGTTTAAAAAATAGTTTGAAAATAGCTGCAGATTATGCAAATGGTATTTACCAATTTTAAATTGCAATTATGAATAATTCATCAGACAGCTTTTTCTTTATCTAAAGTCATGAAGAGTGTCTTTAGAAACATGAAAATCTCTTTGTGCACTGCAGTCATATTCATCTGCTCTCACAATTTTTTTTTTAATTTCAAAAAACATATACATATACCTTGTCTTTAGATATCTTGCATTCATTTTTTTGTGCAACAATCCATGCTTTAATTATTATTAATATTATTATATTATTAGACATCAATAATATCAAAACAAATCTGCCTTAATCTGGGAATAAAAAACTTGGTATGCTTCAGGAACCCATCTCATCAGGGACATAATATCTGCCACTTTATTTTTTGCAATCAGCAATGTCCCAGTGTACTTTCCAATCAGCAATGTCTCCAGTTGATAAGGATGTGTGTTGATGCTAAGGTGATCTTTCTGAGTAAGTGATGCTTTTACAAATATTTCATCTCTGGAATGTGCTAACTCACATACAGATTATTGGGATCTTCTGCAGTATACTTAAGTGTTGCAGTCTGACTAAAATCAAGCAGCTGTTTGTCAGTTGTGACAATTCTCTTCTTTATGTTTTTTTATGAGGACAGAGACGTTTTTGAAATCTAAAGTTTCCATTTTGGTTACGACAAACTTGTTTCTTTTGTTGACTTTTTTTATATCTGCCCACTGGTTAGTATTGTAGACATTTGATTCATGTTTTTGTACATATGTTTCAATATGCTCAAAGTTGGAGTCACAATCTAAGCAAGTATGTCTAACTTCAGGGAAGTTATAGTAGATTTCTTTGACACAATACAGCTTAAAATCTCACATCAAATATCACATTAAAGGAAGTAAAAACATACTGAGTGTGGCATTAACAGTTTTTTTTTATTTTTTGCTAGCACTTTCAATGAACTTATATCTATCATTTTCAGGTGAACAAGATTTAAAATATAGAACACAATATTCCAATGTAAATGGAACAAATATCATTTAAATTGAAATTAAAAGTCATTATGTGGCTGTACCTTGGGCCTCTCTCCATATGCATTTGCTGTATATTCAGGCAATACAACTTTCTCCTGCCCCTATCCCTGTGGCCAAATTTACACAGACCCATCTTCAACAATTGGGATAAACTCTTCACCTTTGAAAAATCTGGAGTCTATGCTGTGCTGTTAGAGAATCCATAACAGGGGTGAATGCAAGGTTCATTGGAGCCACAACACAAATGCTTGTTAGCCACCAAGCCAAGCACCAGGAAAATGTGGTGAAAAGAAAGCATTACCACTGAGCTTACAAAAAAGTGCTCGAACAGCACTACAACTTGTTATGGGCTCAAACAATGTTGCTCGGGTGCTGCAGTGACCAGAAACTCATTTTCATATAGGAATCTCTCTTTACAACAACCTTGTAACACACCCACACTTGACCACACTTGAGCATGTGGATTGCCTATATAAATGGCTAAATAGTGATATGAGTCCATCACACCTTTGATGTGGGTATATATTCACACATGCATAAGATGTTGAAACATCATACACATAATGACTTTTAATTTCGATTTAAATTATATTTGTTCCATTTATATTGGAATATTGTGTTCTGTATTTCAAATCTTGTTTATCTGAAGATGATGAATATAAGTTTATTGAAAGCAGTAATGAAAAATAAAAAAATTGTTAATGTCACACTCAGTATGTTTTTACTCTCTTTAAAACATTTTTGAAAATGTCATGTTCTACCAGAGACTTACAAAGTGCAACAAATGTCTGATTTTTATTCTGCCCCTGCAATTGTTGGATATTATATGAAAGACTTTGGCTGTGAAGTTCTTCATCTTCATATATTTAATGAGACAACTCATAATTTCATCTATTCCCACTGTGCAACATGCGACATCTTCTGTCCATAAGAACATAAGACCAACATTGTTTCACAATTGTGTATTCCCAAGTTAAAAGTATAAAGTTTCCTTTTATAAAATGCTGGACCAACACTTAATTTTGGCATTGGAAGCACTTGCTGCAAATCAATTTCAATGCAGTGGACTTCATCTGGCTGACTTCCTGCAGGTTACCCAAATGTTTTACCTTGTCCTAAGTGGCATCAGCTTTTTTAGTGTGTATTTACTGTGCTTGCTGCAATCTCTGTTCTTCTTCTGAATGATTGTTCTTCTTAGCATTCATGATTGCAATGGCATTTGTGTCACCTGTTGCACAAGTATCGGATTTTGGTAATTTAAAACCAATATTTAATTCTTTACAGAAAATACATAGGAATTTGTCATCTGATATTTTTTACTTCAAATTTTCCTACAACCATACAACATAATACTCTTGATCTAGGGAATTTATAGTCATGTCACAATTGAAAAATATCTTTTTAGGGTTTTTTTCTGATTGTAATGGCTTTCATATTTAGGAATGGAACTGATGTAATCATGGGCTAATTGAATGTTCTTCTCAGAAAATGTGGGTCTGCTATTGCCAGCACCACCTATTTTATTAAAATTACATTGATAGCAAGAAAACTAACACAAAGCTGATATTGTTTCACGTTATGCAGCCACCAAAGTAGTAGTAATAGTGACCTCTTCCATCAGCTTTTGGGAAAATCCTTTCATTTTTCAATTGCTGCTGAAAATTATGAATTCTTCCACAACTGTTTTGTAGTCCATGAAGAAACAAACATTATTTTGCAGATAGTCACATTGACTACATGTATTGTCACCACATAGCTGAAAGTAAATTTCTGACTTGACTGCTTTCCTTTCATGTAGTTGTGTAAATTGAGAGAAATAATGAGATTAGATTAACTAGAAACAAAACCAATTGGATAATAATAAGAGAAACAAATCAGAAAAAATATTAAACCTATAAATGCCACAGATATTTGCCATCTCACTTTCTCTTGTTCAGCCATAATCAACCATATCCCAGAAATTGTGAAATATTTTTTCAGCATGATTTTGTACTGCAGACCAATGTTTTGAACATTGCATGGTTTTCTAAGAGTTTTCACAAGGTATGTTTTATCTGTATTCTTGATGTATACTCTCAGAACTTCTCCATCTTTTGTTTTTATTTTTCTTTCCATTCTCTTCTTTCCATTTTTTTTTTTTTCATGACTTGGGTTCTTTTACAGAACTAATCTCCTGACTTCTGCAAGTATTCGACTCTATATCTAAAAAGAGTAAGACTGAAAAATCTTGAAGTGAAGTTTTTCGGATTATACAGTGCTAAATCAGTCTTAATCAAATGAACAAGAATCAAATGCCTATATATAAACTTAATATTTTATTAAACTTACATATAATCACCCTAAAAATACAACTACCATCACAATTGAAAAAAATGCATTAATATTTGTCAGCTTGGGTTAGTACTGAAGTGACTCAGGGTTCTTGCATTCATATAGGGCTGACAACAATTCTGCATGGATGGCAATGTGTATTCAATCTCTTACTGTTCTTAATAAGAACTTGAGTCAAAATTGCTATCATTCCAATTAGGATCTCTTAAACTGTCATCAGTGTAACTTTCTGACATGCTGCTGTTATTGTAGCCACCAGAAAATAGCTGTTTATAACCACATTCACTAGCTGACAAAGCACATTGTACTGCCATCTTGTCTGTGGTTTAGCACTGTACAATCGTATGATTTATGCCAAGTCTTTCAAGGTTGAAATGTCACATGATAATTGTCATGAAAGGACACATAAACTGAAACACCCTGTATTTCATGGTATAGAGCTGTGCATTAGCATCATTCGTAATTGAATACCTCAGAATGCTGCAAACTGAGAATTAGCACTATATGTTCCCAAAGGCTTCACATTTAAATAATAGCTTGACTATGCAATATTTCTTCTAGCTTACACATATAGCATTACTTTCTGTTATATTGCTAACTAAATGAAAATTAAATATGACATCAGCACCATTTTGCTTTATTTTTAAACTCTAGTGTACAAATCCATTTTATATTAAACAAATATTTATTTAAAATTTAGATTCTTTTTAAGTTAGAAGACAATAATTTAATTTAAAAGCAAATTTAATTTAATTTAATTTTAGAGCTGACCAATCAGCTTTTAAAGTTAGGTCATATTGGATGTTATTGACATTAAAATTAATTTTTATTTAATTTTTCTGAGTTTATTTTAGCATTAATTATTATTATTATGATGGGTTTTGTGAGTTATACTCGGTTGACACTGGTTGCTGTGTACTATGCCGGACCAGTGTCAGGCATAGTAATCAAACCAAGACAAAAATTAAATAGGTGTGTCAGTGTGTGTGTCTGTATTCAGGAATTTCCTAACAATATGACATGTATTCAATATAGTGGTCTTCTGTAGTGTGATGTATGTATTTCTACTCAATTGTAATGTTCCCAGGCTTTCATGTAGTGTGTGTGGTATCACACCTGTAGAGGAGAGAACAACAGGTACAATAAGCACTCTATTCATCCTCCACAGATACCTTATTTCCTGGCGAGTTCCAAGTACTTGCTGATTTTTTCAGTGCATGTGTTTTGTATATTGTGAGTGTTTGGAATGGCTATGTCTATAATGTATGTGATTTTATTATTTGTCAATGAGTGTGATGTCTGGTCTGTTGTGGTAAATTGTTTTATCTGTGATTATGGCTCTGTCATAGTACATTTTGTGCGTGTTGCTTTCCAATACTGTCTGTGGGATGTATTTGTAGTATGGTTTGTGGATGTCTAATAATTTGTGCTTCTTTGCAAGCTCTTGGTGTATTATATTTGCTACTTGATTGTGTCTATGTAAATAATCTGTCTGTGCCAGGAGCTTGCAACCAGAAGTGGTG